AAGAAGAAAGCATGTTCATGTTCTCATTCGTTTCTCAACCGAACGAAAAAGTATTTAATACTTATACCACAACACTTAGGGAGCTACCATTTGATTTTTAAAGGGGAACTAGGATGAAATTTGAAAATAAGGCAGGATGAGCAACTTTGCAGAAAAAAAAGGCAGGATGACAATTTATTTAAAAAAAGTCAAGATAAACTAATAAAAAAAAAGGCAGGACCGAAAATTTTTCATCCTAGCCCTCCCCTCCTAAAAATCAAATGGTAGCTCCCTTATGTTAGTACATGAAACAAACACACCATACAATTAAAAACCAATTGTTCAAAGAACAATTCAAGGTCTTTCCAAATCAATTTTTTAAATAATTGATAAGATTCTATGATTTGTAATTTATTATTATCTATTGCTACGCTTGATTTTTTTCACTTTTGTTTTTCCTGATCTTTTCTGCTTTTATTTTGTATTGCTGAATATTCATTTTCATCATGTCTTATTCCAAGTTATTATTTCCAGTTCTTACCAGGCCAATCTCTTTATTTTCAAAAGCCTCCGGCACCCCACCCCTCCTCCCACGATGAACCAATTAGTTGCCCCTTAAAGAAGCCCTTCATGTTTTAGTAGTATCTATATTATTATGTTGAAAGGATTTATGAGGTGCTAGCACTCGCTGATTTGTGGGTTATTGAGTGACAGGACAAGTCATCATCAGCATGTTTAAAAGTGAAATTTAAGAACTTAGAAAGATTTTTAGAATGCCATGTATGAATTCTGCTTCATACGAGCACTAAAACAATAAGGCCAGTAGAACTTAAATATAGTATGTACTTCAGTAGCCCGTGCAATGATTTTTACCATTAGCAAATGATTCAAAAGATAATGTAAAAATATTTAGAATCAGAAATTGTGCAATGGAAGTCATTTAGGATACTAACTTTCTCCGCTATACCGTGTTGCGAGAAGAAAATGGTTACTACTTTTGTGTGCTTCCTCGTTCTTTACTTCCAAGGTTGAATTATCTTATACGCATGAGCCTTTATTCATTTTTATTTGATGAAAACCTGTTATATTTTCAATAAAAAGTTTGAATATTATAAAAGTATGTAAGATGAAGGCTCATATTAAATACTAGTAGCCAACAATCCTGCATAGAGAACCATAGGAAGCGTCTTGAGGTGTACATAGTATAACAATGGCCAATAATTGGTTCTCGTCACCAGATGCCAAGCTCTGTCTCTCCAAAATTATGTACAAGTAAGGAATAAATTCACCGGACTAACCCTGCCATAAACTCTAAATTTCCAAAAGAAATTGCAATCACTTCAAGATCTAAAGACAACCATTGTGGTTTCTTCATTGGAACAATCACAGTGACATGCTTACCGATTTCTGTTAACACATTACAAGTCTATGAACAAACAAATTGCGATCTTTCCATTTGAAGTAATTAAATGTTTAGTTATTAAATATATCTATGGTAAAATACATGTAATATGGACTATAACTGTGTTGAATTCTTTTGATTTTGATATGATTTTGTTGTATGGCAGGTAGAAGCAGTGAAAATGGACGTTAAATGTGCATCAATTTTTGTTCTCCTCTTGCTGTTTCAAAGCATAGACTCATGGAAAGGGTAAGTACATATACATGTATCTATATATGTGTCGAATCTATCTATATATGTGTTCGTACTCCACCCGAATCGTCAAATATAGCAATCTATACAAGAACTTTTCAATTATATAAGATATTCATAATTTCATCTATCTATATACTTATGTTGTTTGTGCTGTATTTAGACCCCTCTAACAAGAAATTTGTTTTGCATGCACACGTATAAAAATTGCGGTTTTTATCCAACGCAATCATAGGTTTGAACGTTGTTTTCAATTTATACTTTTTTCGTTTGGGCTTGTATTATATTTGCCTTCGGGTTTATATGATCCGTTCATCCTATTTTGACTCCTCAAAATTCAAGAGTCTATCCTAAATTGAGGTAAATTGTATGGCTTTCCAAATACTGTTTCGATTCCTAACATCTCTGAAGAGACATTAATTGTTGCACCTTTTGTTTGCGGTATATCATCTTTTCCGCAAGTTTATTGTTTTCTGTTTAGTATTAAATTTATAATTAAGATCCATTTATTACATCGGTGATCCGTTTATTTGGCAACCGCCAATGGCAGTCAGCAGGGTTTAAGAACATTTGTTGTTCGACCTGTTAGTCAAATGCGTTTTGTTAAAATATACCTTTTCACTTTTTTGGTCTTTTGGAAACTGTTGTTTGTGCTGTATTTAGACCCCTCTAACAAGAAATTTGTTTTGCATGCACACGTATAAAAATTGCGGTTTTTATCCAACGCAATCATAGGTTTGAACGTTGTTTTCAATTTAGACTTGTATATATCTATCCATATTTTATCTTGAAATGTATCTAATATGTCTGTTTATCGACTCTATCCACGTATCTATTTTATCTATATCTAATCTATCTCTCTATCTATTTTTAGTTATCATACGAAAGAGATGTGCACAATTTTTGGTAGTTTGTAATATACTATGAAAGGGATGGGAAGACACCAAAAGTTTTTCAAACATCTGAGTCAAAGATATGACCGAAAACGAAAAAAAATAATACCAAAATGACAAACTACAGTATGCAAAATACAGCATACACAACTAAAGCAATATGAACCCTACCAAAAAACGCGGGTGATCTCATGTGCTCGGGCAACACATGTGACTACCTTCTGGTTTAAACTTGTAAAATACGTTGTTCAGTTATATTAAGTGATCAAGCAACAGCGGATTGGTAGGTGACTCTTTAATCTAACCTTAAGCATAATAAAATTCGTAAATCATATATGTTTTATGTATAGGGTATGTAAATTTTCTAACCCTGAAATTTAACCGAGTTTGAAATTTTGTAATTGAAACACGTTTTTTATTGTAAAGTATAGACAGGACATTAATCTAGAATTGTTGCTTCGCATCACCATGATCACGGTGCGAATCAATAAGTGACATTCGATTTCCACGCTATCTTAATATTACCTAAAAAATATCCATTCTATTTGGTTGCATTATTAATTTGGATACAGATCTAATTGCTCACTCTTGGTTTTCTTCCGACCGGCAGTATATCCATTGCCAAAGTGGGCGTTCGTTTGGCTCTGCGGGATGTACAAGTACGCAGCCACGTCCGAACAGAATAAGGACATTTAATCCAATGCCTCGTGAAGAGAGAGTGTCACGCTCTCTGCATATTAAGAACCCTTGCAACAACTCTTTGTGGCGTCCGTAAGTTGCCGGTTGCAAGTCTGTCCTTATCTAAATTACCCTCATTTTCTAGTGGCAGTCCATTTTTACCTTCATCCCGGACGACCATTATTACAGGATCTACCTATTGTATTTATTAGTGATTTTCATCGTCCTGAACATGCATGAAATATTTGCCACTGAACGTCAAGCAACCAACAATCAATCAATAGTATGCTAAAATAAGATGAAGAAGTGAAAACATGTCCCGGACGGGAGAAGATATCAAAAATGGAGGATAAAGAATACAAGTACAGTACGGATATTGATGACCCGATCAGCAATATAAAAATAAGGAGATGTGGTATGATTGCCAATGAGACAACTATCCACCAAAGTTAAAATGAAATGGATGTAAGCAATTATAGGCAACCGTACGGCCTTCAACAATGAAAAATGAACCCATACCATATAGCGGGCTATAAACTGCTCCGACATGAAAAATATGAAACAATTCAATTGAAAAAAGTAACGGCCTAATTTATAACAAAACAATTTACGAAAAACAAATATGACAGACATGAACCAACGACAACCACTGAACTACAGGCTCCTGACTTGGGACAGACACACAAAGAATGTGGCGGGGTTAAACATGTTTGTGAGCTCAACCCTCCCCCAAACCTGGGACAGTGGTGTAACAGCACAACGTACGTAAGAACAAACTATAAAAATCAGTTGAAAAAGGCTTAACTCATCAGATCAATACAAAGAAAAACATCAAACAAAAACACAGACAGAACGTGGCAGGTTATATATCTATCCCTCATCCTTAACAGCAAAAAAGACACCAAGTACAGATCTGAGAGAACTCGCAGTTACTGACAACTAGTTCAAAGCCAAAAACAACTAATGATAAAAAATCATGTATCTAAGACTAAAATATCAATCAGTACACATCCAACATCCAATAGATTTAGTGTAAAGACGTCATTAACAGTCCAAAAAAACATGACCTTGTGAAATACCAAAACATAGGTATCGGCAGATTGTAATACCGTGAAAGTACATATGAAGTACATATGTGTAATATGATTTCTTCACATTTTCGCACTTTATGATACTGCAAAGCACTCCGTACCATTTTAAAAAGTTCAACTTGTAAATTTTTAGGTTTTGTCGGGCCAAAAATCTAAGGCATTACCGCAAGCGCTCGAGGCGAGAGTGTTACAACGAGTATATCGAAGCGCAAAATGTAAAAAATATATGACGGAAGCGTTAAATGGGACAGAAACCCATCGTAATAAAACCTTTACAGACATCTCGAGGGCTACGTATAGTACGGATTAATGACACTATTCGCTTTTAATTTTTCAGTTCGTAGGCATGCATGAGTTAATCTTGATAAAATTACAAGAAAATACTAGAGGGGCATTTAAAAACTATTTGTCGATAATCGTGTGTAAGAAAGGACAGCTAAAACAATGACTACAAAGCAAAACAAAATTCAACAAAACACTACGTAGGAACTAAATATTTTCTCCTTTTATTTGAATAAAATTGAGAGAAACAACAAAACTTAAAAACAAGAAGGTTTATGTCGAGTAAAATGCTAATTAATTTGACATTGACACAAAAATTAAACCAAACTGACTTGTAATAAGAAAAATAAAGTTCTACTTATTATATGTTATAATTGAATTTATAAATCACATGTTTGAATCATCATAATGCTTCTAAACAAGTTTGTACTCGAATGATAGCTACCTTTGGATTGGAAAAGCGATGTGCATACCGGAATTGGTCAGGGTAAGTACAGTAGTAAGATACAGTTGTCTGATGAAAATGTATAAAGTGTCCGACACCCCCAAAGTGACCGTCGTATATACATATGGTTACTTTTGTTCTTCAGACCAGCAGTAAAACCCTTGCTAAAGTGGGGCGTCCGTTCGGCTGGATGAAAAAAATAGCTGCCACGTCAGGTCAGAATAGGGAAGTTAAATCCGATGTCATGTGTTGAGAGCGTGCCCCGCCTTCAGCACGTTAAAGAACCCTTGTGACAACTCTCTAAAGGGTCTAAAGGTTGCATGTTGGAAGGCAAAACTTCTGTTACTATCCACCATACCATTGTTTTCCAGTGGTAGTCCAAGGTTCCCACCCTTCATCCCGGGCGACTACTATTACAGTACCTTGTTATTGTATGTATTGTCAATTTGTTTTCGTCCTGAACATGCATGAAATATTTGCCGCTGGATGTACGTCAAACGAAATGAATCTATCATATAAAGTGGCCGACACTCAGTTTTGTGATAGACTATTACTATGTGAACCTTTATTGAATGTATCACCTATTCCAATGATTAGTAACTTGATTTTAAAATTCAGATATTAAATAAACAAGGATATTGTCTAAAATAACGATTCCGTAATTCAAAGTTATAATTTCAAGTCTATATGAAATAGCTCACTTATTTGCCCAATGAAACAACTTTAAATCTTGAAATATATATATATATATTTCATTGACAATGCATAACAATTTCCATAAAATTTTTTTAAAGCGGTCACATAGAATGCATTGCGAGCGTACAAGCGCACCGTTTATCTTTTTTGGCCATCGTTTGCATACTCGTACCTTATCAGACACAAATTTTAAATTGCCCCACAAAACGATGCATGAAAAATGTTATTTAAACAAACACATGTCGAAGGAGAATTATAGACAAAGGGAGGAAGATCCGAGCTTCGTTGAAAAAAACCAGACAGAATGGGACACAAAATCTACCATAAAAACAATGTTAGACTACGTTCTCAAGAATGGTCAGCAACTTTTGCTCCACATGCAATCTAATTAAAATATAGATCTCGAATTTCGTTATACTACGTTATACCTCGTATGTAGTATAACGTAGTATAACGAAATCCGAGATCTATATTTTAATTAGATTGCTCCACATGTGACATTCTTCATGTAAAAAAAAGTTGATTATTCACGACGAATTGACCGTCACCGATAGAACAACATAAATATTGCAAAATAAAACACCACAACAATAATGAAGTAAAATAAATTATGTTGTAAAAACAACTCAAACCCGCGTTTTTTTTTTGTTTTTTTGTTTTTTTTTTTTGTTTTTTTTTTTTTGGTTGCTAAAATATATTTTGAAACACGGTGTATTGAGGAAACGAGTACGATAGGATAACAAAAAAATATATGGGGATTTTTGAAGAGAATAGGGAATAAAATATACAAAAACTAATGAAATAAGAAATATTTCAGGCCGTGCTATCATTGGCGTTCGGTGTTGGTGAATAAGTACATACCTCAGAAATTATGTTGTAATGGTTGGAGGACCAGTACACACCAAAACTGTGATAGAGGTGGGTTTTAGGAAGATTCAATACGGTTGTTCAAGTGGTGACCGAAAACTTTTCAAATTTTTCCATTTTCCTAATCTCTTGTCTCATAAAAGGAAATAACACTGTTATCTGCTATTTTGTTACAAATTTTGGTTCATTCTGTGGTGAAAGTTTTTTTAACCCATCAATAACTTTGTCGTACCTTCATGGAATTTTAGGAAATTTAGGCAAAAGCTTGTTTATGACCAAGACAGTATCTAATTAAAAGCAATTTTTTGAAAAAAAAACTTATTTTCATTTTTGCCGTATTTTTCTGATAAATAGGATTAGTTTTTTTTTACAGTTATCATCAATTTAACTTTGTCAAAACCTACATGGAATTTTATGAAATTTTGACAAAAGCTTTTTTTATGACAAGTTTTCAGAGTAGAATTTTTTTTAAACTTTGGCAGAAGTTTTTTAGTTATTCAGATGCATCTAAAGAAAAATTATGATTTTTTTAATTCTGTATTTTTCTCAATTTTTACAGTCAACACTGACAGCAGTAATCGCAGACGAGACACAGGGTTCCGTGGAACCCTTAACGAATATTCAGCCATTGAATTTGTTTTTGTCCCGGCTGATAAAGCTGCTAATAATACCATTATAGTTTGACGTAAATTTTACATTGAGGTTCTGCAAAACGAAATCACGAATTCACCAACATTCCAACTGACTTCATTTTCAGAAAACGATATCTGTAACAAACATAAACTATTAGCTACTTCTTTACAAGCAGAACCAAATACAATGAAAGTCCCAACTATGTACTGGCTTCCGAAGCTACACAAATCACCTTACAAATATAGATTTATTTCGTCTTCAAGTCATTGTTCCACTACTAAATTGTCTATTCTACTTACTAGTACACTTGGTACAATCAAAAACCTGATAATAAATTGTTCAAATAAGGCCTTTGAAAATAGTGGAATTAACTACTTTTGGAGTGTCAAAAACTCGTTGGAAGTACTTGATAAATTGCATGCATATATTGGTAATTTTGAATCTGTTCAAAGTTTTGATTTTTCTACCCTATATACCACTTTGCCTCATATTCTTATTAAGAAAAAATTCACACACCTAATTAAATGGGCATTTAAAATGTCGGAATGCGAATACATATGTTCAAACTCTTTTAGTAATTTTTTAGTAGCAACAAACAAAAGAGCTATGTCAATTGGACATACTTTGATACTATATCTGCCCTTGAATTTTTACTTGATAACATTTTTGTTCGCTTTGGAGATTCCGTATATCGTCAAGTTATCGGAATTCCAATGGGGACTAACTGTGCACCACTTATTGCGGACCTGTTTTTGTATTGTTATGAGTTACAATTTATGACTAAAATCAGCAAAGACCCATCGAAATAACATCTGATACAAAAATTTAACAATACTTTTAGATATTTGGATGATATATTGGCTCTCAATAATGACGACTTCAGTATGTATACTAAAGAAATTTATCCTGTTGAACTTACTTTAAATAAAGCTAATACTAACAATGACCACTGTCCTTTCCTCTATCTTGATATCTATATCATTAACGGGAAGCTTAATACAAAAATTTATGATAAAAGAGATGATTTTTCATTTCCTATCGTTAATTATCCATTTTTACATGGTGACGTTCCCTTGTCACCATCTTATGGTGTTTATATATCTCAACTTGTACGATTCGCTCGTGTATGTAACAACGTATTAGATTTTAGCGAGAGAAATTTATGTATTACTGAAAAATTATTACACCAGGGTTTTCGATATCATAAACTAGTCAAAACATTTACTAAATTTTATCATCGGTATAAGGACATCATTCGTAAATATAACTCAACATGCAGACATCTTATACGTTCGGGTATTTCACATCCAATCTTTTATGGTAATATTCTTTACAAAGCACACAAATGTCAGTATTCACCTCAAAAGCTAACAAAACCTTTAAACAGACTTATTAAGAAGGGATATAGTTACAGTGCTGTTGTCAGGTCATTAAAGATTGCATATGTTTGCTTTAATATTGATTCACTTATAGGGTCTTTGCATCGGAATTAAACATATTATTTATTCTAAAACCAGTTGTTGGCATGACACGGGTTATGTTCTTCTCATATATTTTATGATGGTATAATACTAAACCCCTAACAGGAGGGATTGTGCCTGATATTCATATGATGAAGACATAATCTTTCAATCAGTTTAATTGAGGTCAGGAGCTGGCATGTCAGTAACTGCTAGTAGTCTGTTGTTATTTATGTATTATTGTCATTTTGTTTATTTTCTTTTGTTTCCTATTCTGACATCGGACTCGGACTTTTCTTAAACTGAGTTTTACTGTACGTACTGTTGTACGTTTGTTTTTTTCTACATTGGCTAGAGGTATAGAGGGAGGGTTGAGATCTCAAAAAACATGTTTAACCCCGCCGCATTTTTGCGCCTGTCCCAAGTCAGGAGCCTCTGGTCTTTGTTAGTCTTGTATCATTTTTAATTTTAGTTTCTTGTGTATAATTTGGAGTTTAGTATGACGTCCATTATCACTGAACTAGTATACATATTTGTTTAGGGGCCAGCTGAAGGACGCCTCCGGGTGCGGGAGTTTCTCGCTGCATTGAAGACCCATTGGTGGCATTCGGCTGCTGTCTGCTCTATGGTCGGGTTGTTGTCTCTTTGACACATTCCCCATTTCCATTCTCAATTTTATTCGTATAATTCTATCTTTTTTAGCAGTATCGATGAACAAACTTAATCTTTAAACTTTTACAAGTTTTCCTGTTTGTAAAGTATCGCAAATTTTACACGCTCGTACGCATTGCTTGTAAAATTCTTGCAAAGGATTATGCTTTAAAACCATCCAATTTAATTCAATTTTAAAAATCAGCTGACAATATATCTTGTATATGTGGATTATTGATATAAATATATAAAAATGAATTATTATCCTATGATAAACATGTACAATAATGATTTAAAAATGATAAATAATTGACAAGCTATCTACTTTTCTGCTTTCAACTCACTGGAAAATTTCTGTCGAAAGTTTTACTTTCAGCAAGGATTTGTATAGTAAGAAGGATTGGAATCTCGTGGACTTTTTGCATAGATGTTAAATTATTTGAATATATAGCATATAATTTGGTTTATAATTGTTTCGACAGTTGCATTTTATTGCTCGTTTGAGAAGTTATTCTCTTAATGATCCATAACGACTTTCGGGTGTTTGTTTTTGTTTCTGTGTCTCGTCGAGAATTTTATAGCTTAGCAGTCAGATAGCGGTCAGACCATAGCCGTTAAAATAATTATTATTGAAATTATTTTGATAGATAACGCTGTCTTCTTGTTTCGATCAGTTTCGTTAGCAGTTCTTGTCTTACAAAAAATATATATATCTAATGTTTAGTTGAAACTTTTGAATGTTTTTACGGATTACTTAACACTATGGCTTCTCGGAGAAAAAGGAAATCTACAAGTCGGTTTTCCCCGGATCCAATTGAAATAAACAGACAAGAAAGTGACTGTTCGTCTTGGACAGTTAAGAAGTTCAAGGAAGAACTGACAAATATTGGAATAAACATTACTTCAAAATTAAGTAAAACAGTGTTACAACAAATTTATTTCGATAATCTCAAATCAGTTTCCGAACCTGAACAATTGTCAAATGAAGACCAGGAAGGCTCGCCAACTTTACCAAATGTGACCAGTCATTCGTCTAATGAACTTCCACTTCTGATCGGAAATTTAACAGAAGTTGTTTTAGGACTAAGGGATTCTATGAATTCTAACACCAACAGGAATAATTCTAATACTCCTTTATCAGCGGATTTTTCCGGGAATATACAAGATACAAGACGAAATAGATGTCATCAAGTGCACACAGCAGATGATAATGTGTTTACATTATACAAATGGTACGGTGTTTCTCCTAGTGAAAGCGATTGCGGGATAAATCCCACCCTTAACACATCTACAGCTACTATTAACGGGGTGCCATCATCGTCTGTTCCCTTTTTGGATATCATTTCACCAGCGCTTAAAAAGCAAATCATTGAAGGTAGGGACGTTAATCTAGCCGGACTACTAATGAAAGATTACGAATCCGTTCAGGCAGCTAGTACTTTACTTACTAGCAGTGGTCTAGAAATTATTTTGCCAGGAAAAAGGGATATCCGGCTTCATAGAACGCTCACTATTAAAGAGTTCGTATGCGCTTTTGGCAAATATAAGCGCGTCATGTGTAGGGTTTTTCCTCAACGCAGCGAAGAATTAGATTGTTACTTAGCTAACATTTTACAGATTGAATCTAGCTACGGCGAAAAATTTTATGATTATCATAAGCTTTTTGCCGCCAAAGCTGCAACTGCACTTCGCGATTTCAAAGTTAAATTTGACTGGGGAGTTAAAGACAATGACATTTTTACGCTTTTAGCTCCGCATGCAAGGCCAGAAGTTTGTAGACTTTGTTACGCTATTGATCACGGAACAAATTTTTGGCCCTCTTTCTTCTCAATCAGTAGAACGTAGTACTTATCCGAAGAATAGACCATCTTCCGATCGCGTTGATAGGAGGGGCAGAACACCAATTTTTGCACGATGGGAAAGAGGTCTGCAATAATTATAACACCACAAGGGGGTGTGCCAGACCGGGTTGTTCTTTGACTCATATTTGCAGTTCTTGTTTCGCTTTTCATTCCGCCTTTAACTGCAACAAAGATACTCAAAGGAACAAATCTTCTAGAGGGTCGACTACAATCAACGAAGATAAAAAATGACTAGTAACAATTCCTGTTATCGAAAATTCACCTATCAATGTTAACTTGTTACGTGATTTATTGCAAACGCATCCGGATATAAATTTTGTTAATTATCTTTGTAGTGGAATAAACGAGGGCTTTGACACTATGATTAAATGTACTGATATACCGACACTTGAATGTAAGAATAACTTTTCAGCTCGCTCTCAATCTTAACCGTGCGGGAGCTTATTGACAAAGAATGTGAAAAAGGTTTCTTGTCAGGTCCGTATAAAATTCCACCGTTTAACTATTATCGAGTCAGCCCTTTGGGACTTGCTGTGGGGAAGTACTCCGGGAAAAAGCGGCTTATATTGGATTTATCAGCCCCACATGACGATGATGATAATTGTAGTATTAATGACTTGATCAGTAAAGAAGATTGTTCAATGACGTATGTCAGAATAGACGATGCGATCAAAGTTATACGAAAATTAGGTCGTTTTTCATTGTGTTCAAAGTTCGATATAGAGTCCGCTTTCAAACAATTGGGAATTGGAAAGGACCAGTGGCATTTATTTTTCATTAAATGGTGCAAAGAATACTATTTCTTTAATAGACTAGCGTTTGGTTGTAGGAGCTCGCCAATTATTTTCGATAACTTATCCAGAGCAATTTGTTGGATTGCTACTAATATCTACAAAATTGAATATATATTTCACCTTTTAGACGATTTCTTGACTATAGATAAACCCGATTCTTGCGCAGAGAGAACTAAGGCATTAATGACTACTCTTTTTAAAAGACTTAATATTCCACTGGCTAAACACAAGGTTGTTGGCCCTTGTACAGTTATTGAATATTTGGGTATTATACTTGACACGGAAAAGATGGAGACTCGCTTGCCTTTAGATAAAACAAGTCGCATCAGTGAATTTATCAAGAAGTTTTTAAACAGACAATCTTGTACTAAACGTGAACTTCTACAATTGTTAGGGCATTTAAATTTTGCTATGCGGGTTATAATTCCGGGTCGTTCTTTTGTCTCATACCTAATATCTTTATCAACAACTGTCAAGGATCTCAAAGACAAAATTTATTTGACCGATGAATGTCGTACCGATTTGCGTTTTTGGTACTCGTTTTTGGTAAACTGGAATGGCATTAATATGTTTTATGATTCTGACTATACTAGTGTTAGGGATATCGAATTATATACAGATGCGGCTTCTACCATTGGTTATGGTGGTTATTTCAAGGGGAAATGGTTTTGTTCTCCTTGGTCGGATGATTTAAATTTTCCATGCGAAAAGAAATATTCCATGGCTTTTCTAGAACTCTATCCTATAGTCGTTGCAGCCATCTTATGGGGTCATTCATGGACAACTAAAAGAATCTTATTTCGATGTGACAATGAAGCCACCGTACATATTGTTAATAAAGGTCGTTCCAGATGTTTACTGATAATGTAACTTATGAGAACTCTTACTTTGTATGCCTGTATAAATAATTTTTGTTTTCGTGCCGAACACGTTCCTGGAGTTCAGAATAATATCAGTGACTCTCTTTCTCGTTTACAGCTAGAGCGTTTCAAGATACTTGCACCTTTAGCGGACAAAGTACCTCACAAGTGCCCGCCAGTCTCACGAGTAATGTGGCATTAAAGTCTACAGTGTCGGATTTATGGCGACACGTGTTATCAACTAGAACATCTCAGACGTATAAAGTTGGATATCGAGCTTATACTGCATTTCTTGCTAACAACGGGGTTGTCTGGTTAGGTAAACCCATGCCTCCGATTTCTGAGGATATTTTGATTTATTTTGTCGCACATTGTTACAAAAACTTGAGACTTTTACATACAACCATTAAATTGTATTTATGTGGAATTCGGTTTTATTATATCCAAAGTAACTGTGACCATCCGTTTGATTATACAAATGAATCGACACTCCAGAGACTCAATATGATAATACGCGCCGTCAAACGTATACAATGAGAGCATAATCCAAAACCACGTCTTCCTATTACTTTTCAGGTACTTGGGAGAATTTGCAATTCTCTTAGAGCAGGTGTTTTCTCTGCCTTTACTGATTGTTTGTTAGAAACGGCCTGTACAGTAGCCTTTTTTTGGATTTCTTAGATGTGGTGAATTTACAGTTTCTAAACATTTTGATTCTACTGTAAATCTAAGTGTAACGGATGTTGAGATCCTCGATTCTTATGCTATTCTACACCTTAAAACCTCAAAAACAGATCCTTTTCGTAAAGGTGTCAGTATACAGCTTCACAAATCCGATCATACCATTTGTCCTTTCTCTGTTGTCCAAAAGTATATCGCAATCAGGAAGGGTAGAGAAGCATCTTTTTGTTTTTCAGATCCATTGTTTGTCAAAGAGAATGGTAGCGCTTTAGACAGGGACTTTTTCATCAGAAGTCTAAGACATGTACTAGATATTTGTGGGTACAACTCAAGCTTATACAATGGTCATTCTTTTAGAATTGGTGCCAGTACATCGGCAGGATCTGTTAATACTCAAGATCATCTTATCAAAACTCTCGGTCGGTGGACATCAGACAGTTATTGTCGTTATATTCGTATTTCCACGGACACGATTCGAAAAGCACAGAAGTCTTTGACATTGTCTAAAAATATCTGAGTCATATTCGATATGTGGACATTATCGAACTTGAATGGATGTTATTTTACCAAGAACAATGAACTTTAATTGTGAACTTGTTGACCGTAATTGAACTTTTATGTGAATTAACTTTACTTGTTATGAAGTATTCAGCCATTCGAAGAGTTGCTGTTTTTTCCTCTCGATACACTTGGACATATCTTTATACATACAATATCGTTTAGCAGAAGAAACAATGTATTTTAACTTTAAGCCTTATCTATAGTGACAATTATTTGAATTCGAATTTACCGATTTCATAGAATATTCAGCCGTTTCGAAGAGTTGCTGTTTTCCCCTGATACATGTGGATTTATATTTTACTGTATTTAACGAACTTGTGTCATTGAGTTTTTGCCAAAAAACGCGTATTTCAATTTAGAGCCTGCTTGGAATGTGAAAAGAAACACATGTGAACCTTATAGTTTTCTTATATTCAGCCATGTGACGAGTTGCTGTTTTATTTTTCTAGATACAATCAAACTTTACAGTTATGTTTTGTGCATCATATTTGTATATTCATTTTGTTTTTCTCTCTCTCTCTGTCTAATACTTTTTCACCACATGCGACTTGAAGGCTCCCTTTATACCCCCTTTTGAATTCCACCTCACTTAATATCTTACAACTTGGGGGATTACTCAGCTCATATACTTTTTTATTTTTCATATAATCTGAGCAATGGCCATTCATTGCATTTTTTATCACTGGTCAGTCTTTTAAATGACAATTGTTTATCCCCCAAGTTCTATCAACTTACAACTCACATTTCATTAGTTATACTACAGTTGATAGGACAGGTCACGTCGAATTTCCTGTCAACCACTGTTTCGCAAGCATCAATAGTTCGCGCAAACTACGCTTTACAACAGCTCAGGATTCAGGGAATTCGACGGGAAAATATTTTCATAATTAGCAAAAATATTTTCAAAATTAGCTGAGATGATTTCCCAAGGGCAATACTATATATATTTTTTTTTTTGGTAATAAATTTTATATTTCTTTTATATTTGTCAGTTTTCTCTGTTGAAATGTATTCGTTTTCAGTCAGGCATTTTGTCTCTGTTATAGCACCACCAGCCACTTAATTACAGACTACATTACTTAACTTGGTACAGGTCATTAAGGTCAATTACAAGTGTATAACAGTTGTAACCTTCAGACGATGACCAATGAGCCTTTAACTATGTCACAACGTAGTTAATTTACAGTATACCTTCTTGGAGAAACTTTGTGGTATAAATGTTAAATTATTTGAATATATAGCATATAATTTGGTTTATAATTGTTTCGACAGCTGCATTTTATTGCTCGTTTGAGAAGTTCTTCTCTTAATGATCCATAACGACTTTCGGGTGTTTGTTTTTGTTTCTGTGTCTCGTCGAGAATTTTATAGCTTAGCAGTCAGATAGCGGTCAGACCATAGCCGTTAAAATAATTATTATTGAAATTATTTTGATAGATAACGCTGTCTTCTTGTTTCGATCAGTTTCGTTAGCAGTTCTCGTGGATTTTTGCATAGATTGTATTATAATGTCTTATGCAGCGCGAGATTTTAGCGTGATTACCCATGATGCATTTCGAAGATGCTCAGCGTGCCTTAATTAATGGCGGATTTTGCATCTTACTATACAAATCCTTGCTTTCAGATATAAAATTTGAATAACAAATATTTTTTTATTTCGAAAATCTTTAAATATAAGAATCAAATGCTATGTTTCTTAAAATTCATACGAAATTAAAACAAGTGTCCATCACAGTTTTAGCAAGAATCGCATCATGCATATATGATGGTCACTTGCTTTCATTTCGTTTAATTAAAAAAAAAAAACATTTAGTTCTATGATATGAAAATTAAGACAAGATAATCATAGAATAACGGTATCAATTCTTGACAGTCATCAACACTTTCACTGCATTCACAGATCTTCAAGTATAATGTGACTTATATGCATTAGTGTAAAATACATGAATATATTATTATAGCATAAATTATAATGAACATCTAGACTCAGAAATTTCAGCATTGGTTTTGCAAGATTATCACACTGTTGCTTCAAATGTTTCAGCAATTTGCCTGCCTGAATGCAAAAATGGAGGAAAATGTACTTCGCCCGGTATTTGTTCATGTGTTGAAGGTTGGAAAGGGGACCGGTGTGAAATATAAGGATATTGTTGAAGGTAATATATATATATAAATAAAAAGAGCGTCAATGATATTGCTACTCAATATTACAATCAAATATAAATGATATTAATAGGTCAGCTTTTTTTTACATGCGCACATAGATTGACACAATTGAATCAAAAGCCAGAGTAGGTTAAAGAACGGTTAAAATCGGCCCCAAGATTTTACTTCTATTTAATCTTGCCAAATCACTGCAAATTTAACATATAATTTTGTATTACAGCATAAAAACTTCTATTTAGCATATCATATATTGAATTAAGATGTTATGACAGCTTAAATATGCACAATTTGTGTTCTCGCGTCCGTTTTGTTCCGATTTTTTCTTAGTTTATTAGGATTTTTATTATAGTTATGTTGGTCCTAGTCCTGATTCAGACATTTTTCGTGTATAGGTGTTCAATATAAACCTTAACAGCTTTTGATTTTAGGTCTGCAAAATGCACAAAATCGTCTTGCTTTAACAACATATTTAAAATGTGCTAATTTAGGAGTCTATAATGTATTCTTATGAAACAGATCATTTAACTTAGCGTTAAGACTTTTGAAATACGTCTATTTTAGATAAAAATGAAGCTTTTTTGATATTTTATGATAAAGTTTCTATTCAAGGCCATTGTTGGAAAATGTAAACCTTGTTGTGTAGTATCACCACCGGATATAGGTACTTCCGCAGCGGTGATAAAAACACGTGAATCTATTCCCGTACAGAAAAACACTATTCGCCGTACAATTTATCAGCTTTATTTACATGAATTGTTCTGTGAAAACAATAGTTTATTCCGAAATACAGTGTCGTTCAAGCTTAAATATTGTAACGGCCGGGTCTGTGCCTGGGGAGATTAAATTTCGGGAGGGACAATTATCCCATCATGTATGAAAAAGTATTTAACTTGTGGATGGAAGTCAAGTGTTTGGGAATGGAGAAAAATTGTATAAATACCAAAATACTGTACGTTATTACCGGTGAAATGTCACCGTGAAGCAACACTCTAAAATGTCACTTAATTATAGTTATGTACACGACACGGTCTCAACACAGCTAGAGTGTCAACCATAAGAAGATACGTACGTTAATTCCTTTTGGGAAAATAAAGACCCGATATTTTAAATAGAGACCAGCTATCGAACTTAAATTTACTATAACATAGGAATATTTACTCTATATCACAAACAATCTGATTGGATACCTTTACTAGAAATTATTGAAGGCCAGCGGGCTATTTCACTAACACACAAAAGATCACTTAAATGTACGACACGCCAGCGACACACTTTTGAAATAAATTACAGAATATTTATTAATAGAGTCGTGCATAATTATAAAGTAGATTGACATCTACATTTATGCCAATACGTTAGAGACAATAAACTATTAGGCATATACGTACAAACAGAAACATCAAACATTGTTTAAAAAGAAGGATAATATTGTTGCTAGTGTTATTGTATTCTATTTATATTAATACACATGTATTTCCCATATATTGATACCAGAGCTAACAACGTGTAACTACCACGAATGCCAGTAAAGCCGTTTATTAATCCCTATTTCTATCTCGTGTTTTAGGATCACATTATATTACGAGAGCAGCCAATATTGTTTTTAATTGTGTATACTATACTTATTAATATATTGTTCAACCTGTATAAACTATAGTGTTGTGGTTAATAAATCATTAACTTCATTCAGTATGATTCTATAAATGCCCTACAAGACTCAATCTCGATACTGATTACAGATTCGTTGGGTGCTACACTCAAAAATTCATGTAGCAATCCTCTAAGTACGCAACCTACGACCTGTTTTCAGGTATATAAAATTATCAGACACATAACGCTAAGTATAAAGTCGTCCGTCACCGGAAGTCGGAACCCTCAGCCCGCTACAATTGGTGGCAGCGGTGGGATCTCTATTAGGGAATCCACAGAGTGACGTTTGAGACCAAAGACAACCTTTGTAAGACATTGCAAGCAACAGCACGACTACCACTCCACTTGGAAGAGATGAGGTGGATAACACAGGTGCCCAGGAGACGGGACTCCCCGCACCTGATAGAACACGCTACACCATCGGGAGAAGTACAGGTGCGGGTTACAAAAGAAAGGACTCGGACTAACCAATCAGATCTCAGACACATAGATGGTACGAGACTAAAATTTACAGATTGTGACAAAGATGAACGTGTCGGCAGGGCGGCGTTTCATAATCGAAATAGAAACGAATCAGCATTTGTTGACTCAGCATATTTCTTGGCTGAGCATCAACGGTCAACCCATGGAAGGGGAGATACAACTATATATACAAGTCCAAGTTTGACTACGGGACAGGACCCCACGGACATTCGGGAGGTTGGCCATCTCAACAAGAGTATCTCCTGTGATTCTCCTTTGCCAACTAGGCGAACTAGAATGCAAGAAGAATCAATTTCTATGCCATCCGGAGGCATGAGGGCATTCCCATGGAAGGTCCGCACTGACACTGAGGCTCTTAATTTGTGTGACGGCCGCGCACGGGAGTCGACAAGGCGAGTGTCAGGGTTTGAGGACAATGTACTTGGTCATTGCTATGACCAATTGACAGAACGACGCCGTTCACCAGTATTTGGAAATAGATGGGGGAAAATCGACAACCGACAAGGATGCACAATCAGCTTGTTGCAAACAACACAAACACAAGTAACAAAAACAAGAATGCTGCAAACTATGATTGGGCAAGCAGCTGGCAAGACTATCAGGTACATTTTGAAATGGTGGCTGAGATAAACTGATGGGATAATGCCACAAAAGCCCTAGAGCTAGCAACGAGTCTCAGAGGATCAGCACAGGCAATTCTCAGTGACCTTAGACCAGATCGAAGAAGAAACTACGAACAACTAGTAGCAGCATTAGTATCACGTTTTCAGCCCAGTAACCAGGCAGAACTATATAGGGTACAGATGAAAAATAGAACAAGGGATAAAGGACAAGTTTTGCCCGAATTAGCACAGGACATAAAACGACTGACAAGACTTGCATACCCGACAGCACCAATTGAAGTGAGGGAACAACTTGCACGTGATTGCTTTATGGACTCCTTAGGGGACCCGGATCTTGAATGGGCAATTTTCCAGGGGAAACCCATCAATATTGATGACAGTGTCAGGATAGGCCTTGAATATGAGGCGTTCAGTACGGGACAAAGAAGGAAATTCCCGAGCCGTGTCGCTCTTAGAAGACAGACAGAAGTATCGGATGAATCCGATTGCAGTGACGATATGGGCAACTTAGTAGAAAGATTAGCGAGAATAGAGAAGCAGGCAACAAAACCAAAGCATCCACTTACCTGTTATTTCTGTGGCATAACCGGCCACATCAAAAGAGAGTGTAGGAAGTATTTGGCTTCACAAGGTCGACAGCAAAGTCGCCCAGGAGTCACAAGAGCCAACAACAGGACATACACACAGGGCACGCAAACTAATAGTGGATATTTCGTGTCCAATTCGGGAAACTATTAGAGGTCGAAGGAGGGGTCCCACCTTTGATCAGCTTTTGTAAAATTGCACAGGGACCATCTGAGAATTTAAGATGTAGAGAGAATAAACATGATAGTTTGTATTTAAAAATTTATGTAAATAATGTTATAGTAAATTGTCTTATTGACACAGGGTCAACTATGACAGTACTACATAGCCGCAAATATTTTGCGATACCAGAGCCTAAAAGGCCAGGGCTTTCAACAAGTGGTGTGCGATTAAAAATGGCCAATGGGGAATTGATACCCACCATGGGTCAAGCAAATTTTTGTATTAAAATCAATGACAAGTGTTATAGCCAACGGTTTTTGGTAGCAGAAATTGATGCTCCAGCCGTCCTGAGATACGATTTTCTATACTTACATAAGTGTAACTTGGATATGGGGGGGGGGGGGGGGGGATTGTTTACTATTGACAACACAGAGATACGTTGTAAGAAAGAAAGTCAAATGGCAGCCATTTTTAAGGTGTCAATTGAACATAATATTGTACTCCCGCCATTTTCTGAAGTGGTCGTACCTGGAAAAATAGAGGGAGACCCTACGCATATATCTAATGCAATTATAGAACCGAAAAATTATTCCGACCAGACTGATTTACTTATTGCAAGGTCGTTGGTAGATCCTAGCAATGGAGTTGTACCACTCAGAATTGCCAACATGTCTGACACAGAACGGGTTGTATATGGCAGTACAAGGATAGTCAAATATGAGACATTTATTATTGCTCAAGGACGTTTTCTGGATAACGACACGGAAGGACGGATAGATATGGTGAGAGATACTAAGGAGGAGGAAGACGAAAAACCAAACAGTTTCTGAAAAAGAAGATAAAGATGAACAGTTAGTGACTCGACGTCGGCATAAACCAGCTTATCTCAAAGATTATGTTGAATAATTGAATTATTAAACTTGATGTACATAATTTACTTGTAAATATGTTGTGACTTTTATTATAATGTTACTAACCTTTAAACTTTGGGATTATTTAGGAGTTCCAGTCAATGCAGTCGGAGGAATAACCATGGCTCTGGTATCATTAATTCTCTCCCTGAACGTCGCTTGATAAATAACTTATAATTATATTTTCTTTTCTTTGTATCTTAATAGATGAATACATGTATGGTGTGTATGAGAACATACAGAAAACAGGAAAGTTTAAAGAGGCACATGAGATATGCCCACAGTGTCAACAAAATAAGATGCAGGTGGTGCCCCTATGAGGTGTCGTCAAATGTAAGGTTCAGGATGAAAGACCACAAGCGGTCGCAGCACTGGTACCGGTTTCACGTTGAGCAGGCAGAACCATTGAAGGAAAATAACTCCAGGAGTTATAATTATAGAAAGGAAAAAGGAGAAAGGAAGAAAAAGAATACCTCAGCAGTAAAGTCAATAGTTAACAAAATTAGGGGTAAGAAAGAAGAAGAAGAAGAGGTAAAGAAAATTACTAAAGATGTCATTCCACAATTTATAGCTACA